GCTCTCAGATTTAGATGGAGGGAACCATCTGGGCTGCTCACGCTTCTTAATTCAATCACGATTGTCACGGGGGACGTCGAAAAAAGCACAAAGCGGTATTGAATAGAATTAATTACCTCAATTCAGCGTTTTCAAAGTCAAACTGATTACTTTATTCTGCCGTTATTCTTTGCACTTGTGTACTTATCTAGTGGACATTTAATCACCAAAATGATTCATTCATTCAAAGACATTTAAGACACCGAGGACAAAAAGACGGTGTCACAACCCACGTCTCACTATTGCATTTTGTGGCGTCCGTCTTCCAGTAATCTGTCTCTGACTGTCATTGTCAACTAGGAAATACTTGGGCTTATCTTGGGTCAGGGAAAATTAATCCGAAATTCTATGGTCCTAAAAGAACTCACTGTAATCATCCCAGCTTTTGTTCTTAGCCAGTGCGTTTCTTTCTCCCAGCATTTGAGTCGTGAATCAAAGCATAGACGAGCTTAACAATCCAATCAGTGCTGTTGAAGCGGAGTTTGTTTTTTAACCATATGGGACACTTACGAGAATTCCTGAAAGTGTAAAACACACATCGCTCGTTTGGCCTCAACACACCCTTTTTTTGCATATTCATCTATATGTGCACATACCGAACACCCAGTAATAAGCAAGCCTGGATCACGAGAATACGAACTTGCTAACACAATGCGCCGTCCTTATGTCTATTGATGTAAAGAACCCCATGTTTCGATTCCTTGATGTTGCATTCTGTGTCTGGCTGAAAAGGGGGAAAACATCTGGTTTGAACATTTAAAGGCAACAAGGTGACGACGTGCTTCAGTCGGTCGCCCGTGAAATGGAAAACGCAATAGCTGCAGTATCATTTGAATATCTTCAAAAAAAAGAAAGTATGGAGAATTCCGATTTCAGTCCATTTTTCCATTCTGATTATTCAGTCCGTTAGCGAGCTCAACAATATGCCGTTGTTGGTTAACACCGAAAAAGTTAACAGACAGTGAAAGGAAGCAGAATGCAATAGCCAGCAGGGCTTATCTGAGCAGTCAAAATCCATTGCGTCTGATTGTAAAATGAGAAACTGGGGGATTATTCCGAGTCTTGAAATGATTCTAGAGATATTACATCGGTATCCTTTTCACTTTCAGACCCAGTAGCATTCACACAGTGAGACGCCACGCGCCATATGTCTCCGTTACTCCCCCACTACATTTACACCACAGGCCTTTATGCTAATGCCAAACGTGCTGCTCACATTGGACTGTTTTCATACGTTTTCTAGTATCCTAGAATTTTCCTGTTAATGATCACAAACACGACAAATACGCAAAAGAAGGCTGCGACAGAAAATGTGGCATCTCGTTTTTGTATTTGTTGCGCTCCTCCTCGTCTCAACTGCAGTTCACTGACCTGAATAACGTAAGGCGCCCCGGTGCTGGGGCCCTTGAGTCAGACGAGGACTGCTGCCGCTCAATCTTTTTTTTATGTTTATACGGATCAGCATGCTTGAGATCAGAATGTTAAAAGAAATAAATAACCCCTCTGCGCACATTGACTGGAAAACACTCGTCACAAGACCAATTTTCCATTGGGTATTACCTGTCACATCATTTACCCCCCCCCACTTCTGAACAACGTGCGATTGTTTTTAGGTTAATGGGCTGTTGGATAAATAGGCTTTATGTCCAAAAAGACATTAAAAAAAAACAAAAGCCAGATGTTGGTGGGAATTTATTATTTTTTGTCGAGAGGGTAAGAGCCTCTGGTTAGATTAATCGCCCCGTGATGTATTTAAAATCTGGAATTATTTGACTCACAAAGAGATTTGGGTGTATTTTGCATCGGATTAGTGTACGTTTTTCTGCGAATAGATGCGATTCTAAAAGTTCACTGACTGTGTCCATGCAATCCTTTATTCACGCTGTGTGCACACTGGTCTGGTCTGAAGGCTGTTGCAGTATGTTCATAGCCGACTGTGTTTACAGCTATGGGATAAGACCTAACAGGGAAAGTTGGGTCAGACCGGGGCGCAGCATGGATTTACGGTCCACGGCGACCTGAGACGCTCTTGCTGAATCCCCCACTAGTTCACGCGTATGAGCGTACGCGTGCAGGGGAGGGGGTCAGAAGCTCCCTTGACTGCCGCTGCTGAATCTAAATCCCGCTCTTTCCCGTCAATAATTCTGTGCTTTTCCACAGCCCCTCTAATCCTTTTCCTTACGTGACTCACCTCTATTTATCACCAGAGCGCGCAATCAGGCCAACGTGTGCAAACAGCGCGGTGCGTGCTGTTTGCACGCAGGTGTGTGGGTTTGATTTTCACCCAGCGTTGCTCATGCTATTCTAGATCCATTAGCTTTGGCTGTTTGTGTATTTATTTTGGCTTTTTACTGGCGGATAAGGAATCCCGTCTCCATCTCCCGCTCCACAAGTTCCCCCTTTTTTTGTCCAAAGTAAGCAGCCGACTGCCGCGAAGTCACGCTTGCTGTGGAGATGCGATAAAGCAACGAGATTATCGGCCGCTCAAGTTTGAATAATGGCTCCGTATAATGCGTCCGTGCCACAGCAGCGTGGAGATTGCGCATCGGGCCGGGTTTGGCGGGCCGCCCGCCGCCGCTGCTGACTGTGTGCAAGCGTAGCTGGGGCTCGGAGGGTTAATGCAGCGCGGGCGGAGCCCGTGCTCATCCGCCCGAACTTCAAAGGATGCCCCGAGGGAGTCGTAAGCCTCCATCTCCTCCAGGCCGAGGCTCGGCATAACCCCCCCCCCCCCCTCCAGTGCACAGGTCAAACTGGGCCTCATCTTTTATGTATCGCTCACCCCATTGATTGTGCTCATAAGAGATTCATGCATACAGAAGGCCTTATTTCCGTATCACACTCCAGCATGTGGAGTTTCTTTTTCCTTTTTGTTTTTTTAGTGGAAATGTTTCTCTCGTTCGTAGATCGTTATTTCCCCTCTCGTTCTTTTCACTGTTACCATTCCCCTGTCATTCTTCATCCCTCTTATAACTCTCTCTCTGCCTATCGCTCTCCTGACTTTCCCTTATTTTGCTCAGAAGGTCACAGTCATTTCTCCTTTTGACGGACCTTTTTTTTCTTTTTTTGGGGGGGGGGATTTATTGTTCTCTCATGAATTATTCAGATTGCAGATCGTGAATACAGTGAATTAGAGAGCTGCAGTTTCAGGAAGCTTACTGGAGACGGATGCTTGGAACAACTACTTCAAGTCAAATCTGCACACGTACGTTGCTACACCATAATGCAGAGACTTCACCGTAATGAAAACCCTCCCTAATCTGCAGCACATTGTTGATTTGAAAGTAGGGGAATGGCCGCTGGGTCTGTTTTGCCTATTCTGCTTACTTGTGCCGAGAGCAGCGAGAGCTTTATTAGCATGCCGATGGCGTGTCACAAATATCCATTTCTGTTCATCCCAGGGTTATTTACTCATTCATGAAAACTTGTGTTGATACGTTTTTGTTTAACGGCTCAGACTTCCCCATCCACCCTCTGTTTCTCTACCTGTGTTAAAGTGGTGTGTGTGTGTTATGCACCCCAGCAGAGTGTGAAATTGAAAGGCTCCCCTGCAGAGGTGACAGGATTGACAGAAAAGAGAGGACACGAGCTGTAAAATCCCATCTTTACTGAAGTTGTTTTCATTTATCACTCGAAACTAAGAAGCAGTCTACTTATATATATCAAAATGTCCTTTTTATTAAATTGAGTTTTCTACGTTAGGTGAGAGAATCTTCTATTGCTGAAAACTAATTTAGCAAAGGATTGAAGAGTTGCCCTGAGATCACTAAAATGTTCAATAATCCAACAGCTATAAAATTAATTTATCTTCCACCGTCTTCTCTGAACCATCACAGTAACTTGGAGTTATTAATAATATTCTAGCATACTAACATCATCAGAGTGCTGTAGTTGCCAATAGAAAGCTAGCTGTATAGAATAATAGCTAATATTCACATAGTTCTGTAACAATTATGCACCAACTTTACATGAACTTTGTTTTTTCTTTGTATTGCTACATCCTTGTCATGTGAAAAGGACCTAAAGTCCCCCTGGAGCTTTGCCCCCCCCCCCCAACACACACACACTCTGACCCGTGTGTGTGCAACCTGTCCAAACCAGGTCCCACCTGGCGAGGGTCGGACAGACACCATCTGCTGCGTGGCCCCAGAATGAACCGTACCTGCCGCCTCCTCCTCGTCACCTTAATGGGGTATCAGGAAATGCTTTCTGGATGCTTTCCAGTGAACTGATTTGCAAATTGTTAAATGAACAATTATGAATCCGGTCGAGGTTATTACAAGGGATGATTGTATAAGACGTTTCAGAGCAGGATGTTTCCTGCACAAGGCTTTTTCATGTGAGGAAAAACACGACAGGCCTTGTGTCCTAAGAAATGGGGGCGAGTGTTGGCGATGTGCTTCTTTGTTACGTAGAGTAATTGCCCTGAGACAATCCCCCTCCCCGAAACACCTCTAGGACTTAACAAGCTAGATTTTAAAAAGCTCAAATAGGCTTAAAAGGAATTATCTCCCCCTCGCATGCTTGTTTTTTTCTTGCCTTTCCTTCCTCCCGTCGTGCCATATCCCTGAGATGTTGCTTCCTGAAAGACGAGCATTAGGATCAAAAACATCATGTTTTTACATGATTTTACAGCCAAACAATCGGCTTTGCTGATGGATATATTCAAATGTATTTTAAGCCACCCTCTCTGCTCAATGAAGACCAGGTTTTCCCCCCTTTTTTTTAACGTCCCTTCCATTCTTTTTTTCTTCAAAAGAAGGTTTCTGCCGTCGTCCATCCTCCCAACATTTCCCCAGTAATTGCAGCACTGAAGTGAGTGTGGAAAAAGCGCAGGGAGCAACATCACAGCGGTGATGCGCATGGACCATGGACCAGCGCGCTGGCCACCAGAGCACCGCGGGAGTGATTTTCCATGTAGTGATGAATTCTCAACCATGGATCCTGTCTTTTTTCACTTCAAGGCGGAAAAATGTGCTCGCGCAGAGGACGAGGAGCCTGGAATTAAGCACAGGAGAAAAAAGATGCCAAAAATGAGACCATAAAGAAGGTGAGTGGCACGTTTTTTTTTTTTCTCCCCTAGATCCTTATTGCCGACGTTGCTCTTATATATAGTATGTATGCAACTTTTATTGATGTGGGTTCATTGATGTGAGCAGTACATTAAAAAAAAGTCGCTTTCTGGATGCTGTCAATTTGTACACCTGCATACTCCCGGTTCACCTTTGACCTTTCGAATGCAATAACCCTGCATAAAAGGTAAAAGCTATGAAGCCATAACCTTTCAGTGCGCCGTTAGTGGAAAACGGTCACGGTTGACAGCTTACCACCGATGGTCACAAGAACGAGACAGAAAGAGAAACCGGCGCTGAGCAGAGAGCGACGGGGATGATGGAAAGATGAGGCGAACAGACAAAATGAAAAAGAGTTTTCACAGAGGCCGTTTGGATTAAATGCTGTTTCCTCTTTGTATAATAACAGCTGGTGACAGAGCAGATGGCGCTGGTGAGATAAACAGTTTAAAAAGTGTGCAAAAGTGCTTATTAGCAAGTAAAAGTGCTGAACGTGTTTACTGTGCCAGGCACGAGTCCAATCCCTCTACCAGTGTGCTGCAGAATCTAAGGGAGCACAAACAGGTCCTTTTTTACACACAAACCTCATTCTAACATCATAATCTTACATTAAAATCATCTTCATTTTCAAGGATGCTGAGTAATACATTAGGAACTATTAAGGAACTACTATATGAATTTGACATTTTTTCCTTTTTTCTTCGTCTGTCAGTCATTAAGGATTCTGCAGCAGGAGTTATGCAAAGATGGCTGGATGTTTCTTTTTGCATTAAATCCGCCCTGTAACTCCGTCTTAATACTAAATGAGAGACGCAGACTGGGCCTAAGGGCGGAACATGCAGCTTTCTCTGCGATCGAGGCACAGAAAATATTATTGAGATGTCATTCAACCATTAAACACTGTCTCATACTTTCAATAGGCGCTTTTCACCAAATGTAACCACTTTATTCCTGACTTTCAAAAGTAATTATATGTTATCTGATCTTTGAATGTGCAATGAGCTGCACGCTCTCATCCTGTTATTTATCAGGCTGACATTTTAAATTGAAACAACGTGTTTTTGTCAGACGTCTCTAAGAGTCAGTTTGTTTAACTACGGACTGATGAGTGTCCTGAATTTCTATTTGCTACACGGCAATTCACACAGTTGTAATACATGAAGGAAATAATCATTTAGAAAACCTTTTCCAGAACAAAACAGAGTGTGCATAATAATCACACCAGCTGCAGCTCAGTTCGAATGGAGACCGCGCGGCGTCATTACCGCGAGTGGTTAATATATAATCACGCATGGGACGCCATCTCTGGCTCAGGTCTTGTCGGCGAGCCAACGCTGGAGCCCGAGGCCGGCAGCCAAAAAGCCGGATTTGCAGCGAGCACAGCTTACCATTTGAAAACGTATCATTCCGCCGGCTGGGGGTCATCAATCCAAGCCTGTCTGAAAATAAGTAACGCCGTCCACCCGACGGGCCGGGAGCCAACGGGGGGCCGCGTACCATCACAGACCTGTTCAGTCACGCCCTTCAAATGAACATAATTCTCAAATACTGAAATCTCAATGTTGTTCTGTGCAAAAAGACATTAAGGGATTCCAACATCGAGCGTTTTTTTCTGGCGAGTGTGTTTATGTAGATTAGGCAGCGGATGAGTGTGTAATTAGGGACGATGCAATGAGGTAAATCTTGGCCGGTGGGAAGAACGCCGTGGCAATGATACCGACAATCACAGCGGTCGGTCGGGCAGGGGGAGGAATAAAGACTAGGAATGATCAAATAATGGAAAAGGGAGGCGAGTGAGGTAGAGAGGAAGGAAAAGGGGGAAGGCGACGCGAAACTGGGGTGGACGTTAAGCTGGACATCAGCTACGGTTCTGACACCGTGGAGACGCGTGAGAGCTTCTCATTACGCTACATTCTTGATACCCAATGATTTTTTTAATCACCAACCTGTATTAATCAACGCGAGCTTTAAGCGGCCCTATAAGTGGTTCAGTCGTTCAAAATGTTTTTCATGAGTACGTTTTTAATGAGGCCATAATATATTTTAATATAGCGCACAAAGGAACTCTCCGCTAAAACCTGCTTATCTTTGAGCCGTCCCACTTCATTAATTCACCATAAACTAAAGTTAAATGATTTTTTCCCGCCTTTCAAAGACTAATTTAAGATCGTATCTCCCCGTTGCCGAAATTAGACTCTTAACCGCGTTGGACGGCCGGAGAGTTTCCCACGATAACAATGTTCAAAAAGTTATTTAATGTGACGTGTGTCACCTCAGTAAACCAGTAAGTCGGAGGCTGTTATCCGCGTGTACCTGAGCGAATTATGAAATGAAAGCTAATTTAACTGCTCAATGAGCAGCACGTTTCACAGTTAATTTGCTCGCTCGTTATTTAACACTCTGCAGCAAATCGGCTTTACATCCTCGCTTCTTTGTTTCTAATTCAAACGCTTCACTGTACTTGGGCGGCGAAGGAAAGACATATAATGTTCTCTTTATAACACTGTAAAACACTGCAACAGTGATGATATTAACTTTTTTAAGTTCGAGTTGTCTTTCAAAATGTAGAATATTGGATATTGCGCTTCAGACAAAACCATCTATTTTTTTCCGTCAGCTAAATATTTCCTGTGCTGTCACGACTGGCGAGTCACTCTGCTCGGGTTTTAAGCCCTTATAAGTATGACAAACAAGTCTTCACGCACACTTGATGGTTGACCCTAAGAGAAAGGAAGGAACAGAACATTCTGAACATGAATGAATATTGAACAAAATGGTGGAATTGCCGTTAAGCAAATGCATCATTTACCACCTGATGAGTAATCTTGCTTTTGGGATTTTGGCTTAATGTTCTGGCCATCTTATAAACAAAGTAGAGGTTATTAGAAGCAGACGTGCATCTAAAACAAGTGGGAATGAACCATTACCCGGGTGACATGTTGACCACAGTCCCCATCTACAGGAACGAAACACAACCAGTGACTTTTCTCCGCCAAAGGGGAAACGGTCTCAGTGATCCGAGTTTACAAACCAGGCCCCCGTGTTGAGTCTTTGAAAGACGTTTGCTGAACCCGAAGTGACAGGAGACATAATTGAGTCCGTCTTGGTGGAATTGGTTGGGGAATTTCCATGCGCTGCACCCGCGTGACCCAGTAGTGATGTGAGGTCATCCAGGGGGGGGGGAATTGCTGCTGCTAGCGGTCGTAGCTCGGCAGCTCACCTGCTGCACGCATCTGTGTGCAGGCAGCGTGTTCGGTTCAGGCTCAAATCTGCACAGCGCCGCAAAACCTCCCTCAGCGACCTGTGCGTGACTGCGCGTGTTTGCAGCGTGTGGGCGCGTGGCGTTGCGTGTTTGCGCGCGTCGCATAGGATACGCGCGTCTCGGCACACATGCAAGAAGACTGTGGGTTAGACCCCCCCGCCCCCGTTTCCTGACATGTAATTAACTGTAGGATCAGTTGATTGAAATCACCTGACACTCTGGACGCCTCTGGCAGCAGTTTGATGCCAATGCCGCGTGGCAGCGTCAAGTGACTGTGCGCGCTGCAGAAAAGCTGCATGCGCACAACCACGCGGTTTGTTCCAGCAGGGGGATGTTTTTTTAAAATTTTCTTTAAATGAAACAACAGGCCCCCTCTGCGAGACGCCCGCAAATTTATGCATGACCGTTTTTTTGTGAGTAGGCAGATGAATATACAAACTGTTTTTGTTTTTGTAAGGTTTAATTGTCCGTGTTCAGCTTGCGCCGCATAAGCAACTGCTTGAGTGGAAATAGCAGTGGTGATGAAGAAGCAGCAGCTACACAGGAGAAAGGCCACAAAGAGGAAGCAGCGTTAGCAATTTAAGCAACCTCGCCTTGTGTATTCCTGCAAAAATCTAGAAAATTCCAGTTAATTCAATGTTTTTCCTCTTTCATGGTAATAAAAATGTAACTTAAAGAAACAACAAGCATATCAAATATTATTATGCCGTTGCTGAGCTGTAAATAGAAATGCACTTTCAATCATCGTGAATTAACTGGAATGATCTATTCTTTTCACCACCGTTTTCCGTATCCCGAGCGTCGTGACGGCTCTGCCTGCAGACAAACAACACCATTCCTTCTCTAGACTTAATGCCTCTTTTAATTTGTTTACCTTGATCAAAAAGACCTCATCGCTTGAGGAATTTGTCTCCCGAATGCGTTTTGGCGGGGAGCGAGCCATAACTCCACAAAGTCACTCCATTTGTCACAGAGAGCCCTGACAGTCGGCCTAATTAGTTTGGTTGTGACAAAGGAGCCGTCCTCTGGAAACTGGGAAATTCAATCCATCCATGAAGGAACGTGTTCTCATAACGCAGCCCGGTACCGTGAGCACAAACACGCCTATTAGGCGCCGTGGGGAACTGGATCCACAACAGGGCCGGGGTCCGTTTGCGCTGTGAATATGTATTTGTATGCTTTGATTCAAGCAACGTCTTTTCGTTCTGTTAAAAGATGCATATTACCGTGAAGGCTTGTTTTGTAAGGTGTAATGTACTGATACAGTCGAGATATACTGTCATAGGTGGAGAGAGAATTCGCCCCTCTGTGAAATAAGCATTTCACTTCCATCAATTTTCAATTTCTTTGACTTTTATTATGTGCTCCATTGATTTTTGCAGACATTCGTATATTTTATGAAGCACATCACATAATATAACAGTATTACCTTGTTGATGCCAGACAGGCACAGTGCAGGAAGACAGTCATCTATCATTTAGGTCAATTTAACAGTAAGCATTAAGGTTGCTCGTTCTCAGCCTCTCCTGACCTCCCTAAAAGCCACTTCTACATAATCTGGAAACGCCAAAAAAAAGAAAAAGGAGATTCCAACAGCCGCTGTTTGGCACCGTTTAAAGGCAGCGTTGTCCACCGCATGCTCTCTGTCACTGTTACATGTACAAATGTACGTTCACCCTCGTGTCCAGTCTGCGCCGTAATACCACGGCGTATACTTGGAAGTATAGGCAAAACTTCACATGACCTAGAAAATGGAGCTAAAGTGCTGTACTGTCTTCTCCTTCGGTCCAAAACATAAAGACGCAGGCGCACACATGAGAAGAGCTCCACTGAGGTGAAAGCCTACAGAGCAGATTGGTGTTTTCAACCGAACTAAAAAAAATCACTGCTTCTCTTTGAGCCGGAAGAGGAGACCTTTCGTAGCCTCGCGGCCTTTGAAGGCCTCAAAGATGCTCCGTGAGCCAAGAGCTCCTTCTTATGCACTCAGCGTTTTGAAGTGGGTCGAGGAACGTAGACTCGCCGCAAGCAGCCTTTTATTTTACCCGCGAGAGAAGCTGCAGCCGTAAAGAAAAAGAAAAGGGTAGATTTGACCACTGGGATGCTGCGTTCAAGTTTGGCTGCTGTTAGACGACAGAGAAGGAAAAATCTACTTTCTGTTTATCTCATCAGAGCCCAAAGAAGCTCGGCATCTCAGTAGAATTTTGCCTGCTGTGCTAATGCGGTACAGGTGTTAATAGGCATTAACATTCATAGCCTGACTTGTTTCATCCGCTCCTGCACTTTGTTTGCACACCTCGCTGTTCAGCACATAATCGCTGGAAATGTAATGAAGTCTCTGTAGTTTTCACAGCCTGTTCACACAAAGTAAGTTTGAGTCTCTTTGATGTTCTTGTTTTTGTGTTGGGGAAAGCGAGGATTTTAGACGACCGTAGTTCATGGAACTGTTGTGTTGCTGGTGTGGCTCAATGTAGACCTCCAAAAATGACCTTTCCCTAAATCTACCCTACGAATTGGAATCGTCCAATCACAGCGGAGCAATCTGGAAGTAGCTGCTACTTTAGCGTCCTGCGTATTCTTCGAAGGACAAACATGCACGGAAAGACCAATTACAACCTTTGTGCGTCTTTGTGTATCACTGACTGAGAGTTCCAACGCAGCCTGTGCAGATGTTGATGTGCTATATTGAGGTTAAGTTCACCAGACAGGTAGAGACGCAGCGGGGTCAGTCCGCGACGACGGACATCGCAGCATAACAAACACACGACCACAGCAGGAGCTTTCATCGCGTCGCGCCAGGTCGCACCTGACTGACGCAGCAGAACCGGCGCATCCTCTCCTTCTCGCCGCTAACCTGCACTTAATTCCAAGCAAGCGGCTACATAAAAAAAATCCAGCCTGTCGGATGCACTATGTATTTGTATTTCAGTGTGTGTGTGTGTGTGTGTGTGTGGCTAGCAGGCAGGGAGACCGTATGACCCGTCTTCAGCTTCAGTGCAGCGCTGCAGACAGCTGTGCCACAAACACGCTGCTGTGCATCACCGCGAGGGCCTTTTATTTAGGTCACATTCTGTGCGTCAGCGGCCAACAGAAGGGATCTGTGTCAACTGGAATGAATACCTTTGGCTGGACACGTTTTAAGTGCCCCGCGAGAAGCAGGACACTATGCACGTCTGTGTGCTTTGTGTGAGTGAGAAAATCGGGGTTGGTTATTGGTCGCTGTGTAATTTCTTTTATTTACTCTTTTGACAATACGAGTCCAATACATTGGCTCTCGCAGAGTGATTTGATCGCCCCGGTTTACAAGGAAATTGCATGAATCATTTCCCCAATTTTTTTTAATTAATCCAGAATCGAGTTTATAGCCACGTCAAACAAAATAATAGATGTGGAACACTCTGTAGTCATTAAACCTCCTCCACGTGCCCTACACAGTGTCCTCAGTGCATTCAAAGAGCTGCAATGACATCTCATTCCCCTGCTCTGCCTCCCTTCCTTTCTCTTGTTACGCTTCCGCCATTCACTCTTCCCGGTCCTCCTCCTGTTTTCACTTTTAAATTTTTGTATTTACCACGGTGGCCTTTTGGCAGAGTGTTATAAATCGCGGCAATGAATTCCCCGCGTAGACTCGGCCACAGCGCTGCGCCTGGGCGCTTATTATTGTCTCGTTAGCTTTACCTCCAGTCCTTTGGAAAACGCGCGGGTTCAGCGGCTATCTAACCCGCCCCTCCCCCCCGATGGGTAAGCAGGGCAGTTTAAGGGCCCTGATGGATGCCATTGTTTTCATGTCACCATGTAAGGGAAAGGTCGTTTATTGCCGCTTGCCTCGACCGGCCCACAAGCTGTCAGCTGGCTTTTACTGGCCAATTAGTTTGCCCTTCGAGTAGAGCTGGAGGTACAGAGGGAAAGTGTTGCACCGGGCCGCGATTAGTCATGTGATCATTTGCTGTGCTTGTGAGCGGGGGATAGTGCATGCGTGCACAATGAGCAGGTGTACTGTAAAACTGAAATAAATGCACTTTTTCAGAATTTCCCGCACGTTAGCAGAGGACGTCGAAGTATCTGCATCACCGATTTGTCCTTTCTAACAGCGTCCTCGAACAAAATAACTTGAAATAGATTTGAACTCTTCCTCCTACCTCGTCTTTTTAGTTTTTCTCTGTCATTCTTCTCCTGTAATTTTCTCTGACAGTCTTGCAGAGAGAGCAGAAAAGTGGGAGTGGAAGCTTTAGGACGGATTTTGATGCTCCAGGGCCACGTCCCAAGTGGCGGCTATATTTAGAGATTCTCCTTTTTGGAGATTCAAAGAGCAAAACTAAAAGAGCAGGTCCAAGTCTCATCAACATCAAGTTCTCTCATCTGTGAAGGACGGCCAAAAAGGATTTACAAATTAAATCACAAGATGACGCAGTGCCTCGAGTGTATTTATAATTCTGTCTCCTCTACTTGTTTGTCTGTTTTCCAATGTGTTGCTTTCCTTTCAGAGCTGGTTTTGGGGCCTGTGCAGACTGGATGTGCACGTCGACCCGGCCACGATGACGATGAAAGGCCTGTCCAGCAGCCGCAGTCACCACCACGCGGTGACCTGCGACCCCTCCTACGACTCCATGACCCTGGGTCACTCGGACCGCCGGTCCTACTTCCTCAACCCGGGGGAGGCCCACCCTAGCGACCACCCCTGCTACACCCAGCGCAACTCCTTCCAGGCGGAGTGCAGCGCGTACCCTGACCTGGCCAGCTGCACCTTCCCCCGCAGACATTACAGCTCGCACCACGAGCTGAAGGGGGAGTGCGGCGCCGTGGTGCCTTACGTCGGGCCGACGGGGTGCGGGAAGGGGGGCGGAAACAACAACAACCGCGTCCCTCCTAACCTGCTGGAGCAGTTTGAGCGGCAGGCGCCGGTGCGGCGCGAGGGCTACCACACGCTGCAGTACAAGCGCACCGCAGTGGAGCACCAGCGCAGCGACAGCCCCGGGCGGATACGCCACCTCGTTCACTCGGTCCAGAAGCTCTTCACCAAGTCCCACTCCCTGGAGGGGCCCTCGGGGGGGGGCGGCGGCGGCGGCGGAGGGGGCGGGAGGATGAACGGCAGCAAGTCCAGTCCCGACGACCCGCCGTCGTCCTCGGGCACCCTGAAGCACAGCAAGCGCAGCAAGAGCAAAGACCGCTCCAAGTCCGAGCCCAAGATGCGCGGCGCCATCTCGGGCTACTGGAGCTCAGACGACACGCTGGACCGAGAGATGTGCCTCTACCACCACCATCGCCACGGCGGCACCGGTGGAGGCCCGCCCACGGGGGTCATGACCATGGGGCGCCACCCGGAAAAGTCGCAGTCGCAGTACTTCATGGAGTCCTACAACACCATCAGCGCGCATTCTCTCAAGACGTCGCGCAGCAACAACGACGTGAAGTGCTCGACGTGCTCCGGGAGCGGAGGCGGCGGCGGTGGCGTGCCGCTGGCGGGATCCCAGGACGGACAGGTGCAGTTGAAGAAGAGCTCGTGGTCTTCTACTCTGACGGTGAGCAGAGCGAGGGAGGTCTACCAGAAGGCCTCGGTCAACCTCGATAAAGCTCTAGTGAAGGCCGAGCAGGGACGCACCTGCCACTTCCTACAGGTAGGACAGCTCACACACCCCCCCCCCCCCCTCCCGCCCCCCGGCATGTCACGCGCCATGCTTCATGCAGCTGCTCCGTCATCCGCTCCTGCACGTATCTCTGTTTGTTTGTGTGTGTGTGTGTGTGTGTGTGTGGGGGGGCTTTTAGAGGAGACTTCTGGGGAAGCAGCAGCCTCATCTTTTCATTCCCTGAGTAATTATTGGTGTCACGTTGATTTTTCAGAAAACATTTGGCAAAACCATCACATGTCATCAGCTCCTCTGTGTTTGCCTCCATGTGCCTGCGTGGATTACTTTGATGCTTTTACTTGTCAAATCAATTGTCTGAATTCAGGTTTATATACAAGCATCCTGAATTTGCATTTCATATTCGCAGTATACAAGCACGGTAGGAACACCGTGTTCTGGGCAACATGTAATGACATTCATGCAACCTGTACTGATGGTTGTCATGTAGTCAAAGCAGTATATCCCATTCACTGATGCTACTGTAAGAATAACCGGCGCGAGAGGTGAGGAGACAATGGAAATGGTCACAAGCAAACAGGGTGTGTGAATGAGGCAAGAAGCACAAAGCGAGAAAAGAAGCATAGAAGACGGAGAGAAAGTTCCGTGTGGCCTTGCATTTTAACAGCCTGGAGAAACCGGTGAGCGGATCAAGGAAGGATGATGTCGCTGCAGTACAGCAACGCTTTCTCCCAGCCTAATAAGAGCCAGTCACTCTTTTTCTTGAAAGAGAGAGGGGAGAGAAAAACAGGCTCTCAGGGAGAGCAGCCGGGGCGAGTTAGTCTGCAGACCTTAAATCCTTAAAATAAAACCATTAGCCATTTGGTTCCGCTGTCGGGGTAGAACCCTGTAATCCGTATTCCATGTTCATTCTAACACGCGCACTCTCAAATGAATGCCAAACCTTTTTGTGCACTTGTGAAATTTAAGAAATGATGCACTTTACTGTGAGGTGAACGACAATTCGAAAGCATGAATGCATGCATATTTAATTTCTTCCTCTATTCCTCAGACACGTTAAATCTATTGGACGCCATTATAATCCCGAGCTTTCACAAGGTGTTACCGCAGTCTGCAGTTGCCCCTGACATCAAAGTCAGCTCGGTCTCCTGGTTACGCGCCGGTCCGTTGAATGACTCTCGCTCTGTATCTCATTTCTTTCACTTCGGCGCTGGTGCCCTTACAGCCACTCACATCGGGACTGCAGTGGTCCTGCTGAACAAAACCCCCCTTTGTCTCCCCTCCCTCTCTCTCTCTCCACGTCTGCCGTCTTTGACTCTCTCTCCCTCCCTCTTAAATGGGAGACGGCCTCGCCTACTTTTACCTTCATTAGTGTGTGTGAAAAGTCAGGAGAGCGAAAACCGAGGCCAGCGCAATGCAACGTTTTCTCCAAACAATCGATTTCTCTGCTTTCCATATGCCGCGTTCGTCACAGGACAGACAAAAGAAGGCCTCTGGCACTCACAAGCTTCTGGTATGATCAAGCCGGGCTCTGCGTTGACACGGTTGCCATTGAATCCTTTAAAGTCTGAAGTGCTCTGTGTGATGGAGGTATTCATGTCTGGGAAAAGCTGCAGCCCGTGTTTTATTCACCTGGTTTAGGATCGTGGGTTGTCCGGAGGGCCGACCCGTGTCCTCTCCTTCTTTTCATTATCTCCCCTCACATCTACAGGTGCCTCAGGATGACTGGGGCAGCTTTTCTCCGCTGGGGAAGGATGACGAGATCCCGTGCCGGCGGATGCGCAGCGGCAGCTACATCAAGGCCATGGCGGAAGAAGACAGCGGCGATTCGGACTGCAGCCCCAAGCCCTCGCCCAAGGTCCAGGCCCGACGAGCCAGCTACCTGAAGGCCACACAGCCGTCCCTCACGGAGATGACCACCCTCGAGTACGTGTGCGTGTGTGTGGCTGCCCGTGTATTATGTTTGAGAACATTACGTTCACGCTGTGAAGGTTCCAGTGAAAGCGACAGGAGGGATACGGGGAAAAGAGAGGGCCGAGGGCGATGGAGTCAGTCGGTTACAGCCTGGCAGCGGTCGGGCTTATGTGTGTGTGTCCGGACTCCTGCAGCTTAATAACCTGCTCTGTGCTTACGACTGTGACACATAGCTGGCTTTTGTATTGCTACAATGACCCAAGCGCTTTGAACAGGCCGAACCATAATTGAAAAATACAAGGTGACCGTTGATGGACTGAAGCCGCTTCGGGGGATTTTCAAAAAAAATATCTGAGAAGCTGCCAAGCTTCATCATTTAAATATTTTAATTGTTTCTTGTTGCATCAGGCGTTCACAGCGTCACAACATGAGCTCCATCAAAAAGATTTCTGAGTTGGCACATCAAGCTAACAACATTTGCTCACTCAAGTCCAGATAAGTTATCTTGAGCTCAGCGGTTACATTTTTCATATTTATTTTGGAAGAAATAGACTTCCATTTGGCAGAAGGACGCATGTGTGATCCGTAATGAATGAATCGTAACCGGGGGCTGCATACAACCTGAATTATTTAAGAAATCACTGTATACTTTTACTGTTTTTCTTACTAAACATCACTAGTCATGAAACCCAAACCCTTGAAAGGGAACACAAGTTCTCCGTTGCAGCACACGGCTGTGACTGATCAGCTGTGTAACATACGGAAGAGATGAGCACAACACCAGTGGGTGCTCACTCATTGCACGCACACAACCTTGTGTAAGTGCAAGTGGCACTGCTTGGGGCCCGCTAATGACTTGAATTTGGCCCGGGGAATGCCATCATCGTCTGATGGAACCCAGCGGAACAAACTAAGCTGCAACCGCTGCACATCGGAGATAGAGGATGAGCAGGTCCTGTTTTCCCGCTGTGCTTTCTGTGTTTGCGCCCCGCAATGGTTTAATAAATCAGCTTTGTTGTTCCGTATGTTTCAGAGGCATTTCTCCGACCCCTTGTGTCCTTGCCCACCGAAGAGCCGGTGCTAAGAAGTTGTGGGATTTGTTTAACCTCACCCAATGTTAACCTCATCCTTTATTAAAACACGCACACGTAAAGCCTGCATTTAAATGGCTGGCAGACAAACAAGCTCTGGAGAAAATGACATCCTTGTTTGTCTCCCGTTGTCACTAACGGTCTTTCTTTTTGCCGTGAATTAATTTATTCCTAGCCTAGATTTTAAGATTTCATCGTCTTTTTTCATTTTTTAAATCTCAGCAATAACAGACATCCTGAATAATGGTTTGCAGTAATGATATCTCCGTCTTTCTGTCCTCCCATCCCTCCAACCACGGTCATCACTCTGTAGACTATTATTCAGGCAGTCACTAGGCGGAGTTAAAAAGAAATGGAGGATGGAGAATGTGGACAGAGAAAACCTCTCAATTGACCAAGCGGCAAAAAACCGAGTGACAGGAAAGACGAGGTGGTGCAAATCAAGCGGAGACGGAGTGGAGGAGAAAAGGGGGAAAAAAGACCGCGGTCCAGGAGCACATGAACACTTGGTGATGCTGTGAAAATCAACAGGCTGCTTTGTCAGCGCTGATCCTTGACTGTCACAGAGGAACATGTGTTCATTATTGTCACTTGTTCGACAGAGGCACACCAAGGGACCGACTGAACCCCCCCCCCCCATAGGTGGTACTGATTACAGGCTCGGCCTGCCATTCAAGTTGCCACAAAAGACATCATTTGTTCTGCGGATAATCAGCCGCACAGGGAAACCAAGAGAAGATGAGGATAGGGATAACGCCGTACGCTAGATTCTTCCTCCCATGTTTGAGGTGTGCAATCAGGATTTTTTTTTTCCCCCTTTAAAAAAAAAGAATGAACTGTATTGATAAAAGGAGCTGGTAAGCCTTCCAGATGCTTTTCCAAAAGCATCTCAAAAGCTCATCCGTCCTTTTATTACTCCGGCTCGCCCCTCCACTCTTCCATCCGAGAAGGATTAATGGAGTTTGCTGTTCTGCGGTAAGCACACTCTATTTTAAGAAGGAAATACGTAATCAAAGCAGGCCTGACCTGGGGTCAGAGTTATAAGAGTGTGTGTGTGTGTGTAAATCCTCTTCATACACACACACACACACAAGTAAACATGGGATGGAGTGTGACATAAAATGGACATTGGCTGTAACGCCTCACAGTGAATTCGAGATCAGATGTTACTTTCTGGAAGTGGGTTTACTGGCCACGGTGTTCATCAAGAGCAAAGCGAGTCAGCTTTTTAGGTTTAATTCCCCCTGAATGATAAATTGTGTAGCAGCCATCCGTGCGCACATAGGCGTGATGCCTGCTGAGCGATCAGATTGGAGGCAGGTGAGCGCTAATGAGGCACCTATTCATCTTCCTTTGCTGTGCGTGTCTCTGTGTGTGTTTTCTGAGGATTATGTGTTTGTGATAAATCTGTTTTTATGTGAAGGTCACGCAGACTTCCTACACACAGTTCCTCCTCCCTCCACTGACGTACGCATGCGAGTGTTTCCGCCGCTAAAGGCTTTGGAAGGAGCTTCAAGGACAGACCTAAGCTGCAGCGGGTGGTTCTCACTGCTACTGCACTTGTTGATTAGATAAGAGTGTCTTCTAAAGCAATTATGGATTGATCCACATATTTAGCCTTTTACCGGGCTGCCCTTAATCTACTGTGAATTTGTCTTGTCCCTCCTCTTCTCTCTCCTCCCTTTTCCTTTTTGTCACAGGATTTCCACAGAGCACTCGCCCAAGCTGCAGATCCGGAGCCACAGCTACCTGCGGGCGGTGAGTGAGGTTTCCATCAATAGGAGTCTGGACAGCTTGGACCCGGCGGGGCTGCTGGCCTCGCCTAAATTCCGCTCACGAAACGAGAGCTACATGAGAGCCATGAGCACCATCAGCCAGGTTAGTGGCACCCAGGGGCCCGCGCCTCTCTGGAGTCGGCCCTTACCACCCCTGTACCTGTACTGCTACGTCCAATCAGGTGGTGCAGGGGGGAGGAAATCCCATCCGTAGATGTGCTTTTAGGCCGATGGTAACAATCGGGTCAGCAGCCGGCAAAAAAACAACAACTCATCTCCCAATTAGCGCGTGCGTCTGCGTGCGGTTTTCTGGAGCTCAGATGATTACAGGCGTGTTTCGGGTTGGCTAATTAAACGGGGGGGGCAGCGAGAGAGCCCCCCCCCCAGAGACCCCCCCCCCCCCCCCGCCCTGCTCGCCTGATCCGCTCCTTCAACCTAATATGCGCCTTATGCCTCAGCATACTCTGCGATGCGAGATGACAAAAATAAAAAATGATCTCTTCAATTTCGGCATCTGCTGCGTAAGGGATGAAAAACAAGAATTAACAAGCAGCCATGAAAATATTATGAATGATTTGAAATGGGATTGAATCCAAATGATGATGGACGTCTGCCTCGAGTTGATGGTTAGTGAAACGTATTGAAGAACTGGGAGGGAAACATTGGAGGTCTATTGTTGTCATGGCCGCTGCTAAATATGATGTCAATCATTTTGTGTCTTGAGCACGGCTTCACTTTCCTGAAGTGACCGCAGAGCTTAGCTCACCTTTTTTTTTGCCTCGGGCAACGGGCACATTTACTCGCCTCCGAAGCCCGGGGGGGGCGACACTTGTCCTCGTCGGCTGAACGATGGACCCTTGAGACGTCCCTTCAAGTCCTAGCGCGGCACATTCCCCCGAGCAGCAGAGTGACACGCTGGGCCTGGCATCTGCCACAGTGCCACGGGAATAAAGGAGGTGCTGGTAGGCTCTCTGTCCCCCCCCCCCCCCCTCTCCCCCCTCTCCCTCTCTCATATGTGAGCGTGAACTGACGCACAAAACAAAGGCTTAGCGTCAGTGGATTGAATCGAGGTCCCCAAACCTCTCTGACTCCAAGCGCCACAGAATGCTCTCACACTTCACTGACGCCGGAACCGAACCACTCGGGTGCCACGTCCCTTCCAGGGACGGCATGCGGCCTAAATGTTATCTGCCCTCACTAAACCCAACCGCTAAGGTCTTTTTTTCTCTTCACCCTGCTGTTTACTGCCAAACCTTCACCGGCTGACGACGCAGCCGTAGGCCGAGTTCGTCGACTCGCAGTAGTCCGAGCGTCGACACTTCCCAGTGCTCACCCGTAAACAACCACAATAGTATTTCACTCTATTGTGCGAACCTTTGAAGGTGTATATTACAGTGATTCCTCCCCCTCTGCACCCGTTGAACATCCTTAATTGTATCTAATGCATGTTCCCTTTTTATGATAACGCATGAATTCCTATATCTGGTTCGAAGCTTCACAAGGCAGTGGTGTTAAAGGTTTGACCTGACACACTCTTCTATTTAGAATGATTGGTCTCATTAGAATTGAGCCGGAGGTTTTTCCAAGGCTCTTGTTTCAAAGAACGCTTGTACGTTTGGTATTAATATTGAGGAGAACATATTAACCGCAAATACAGCTGCTTCAAATTCTGAAAACACTGTTTTATATTGGAACACCAAATTTGAGAGTTAAGCGTATTCCTCCATAAAACCTCTGCCTGCTGAAGTTTTAATCAGTGAGATCTCCCTGTGTATTGAGTCCTGCAGCAGACAGATGCTTCCGTGGTTTGTGCCTCTGTGATACACATCTCTTTTCCACTGCACTACGACGGCGTGCGCCTGTGCATCTTCATTCTTCACCTCTGCGCTCCCCCGCGCCCGCGCACGTATGCCCCCCGTTGGTGCTTTTATTTCTTTCCCGTCCGTCCGTTCGTCCCCCCCCCCTCCCCCCATCACCTCCCTCCCCTCGCAGGTTGAGCGAGTGGGAGGTGAACGGGCAGATCGAGGCCGTGTGCGAGTCGGTGTTCAGCGAGATGGAGTCGCAGGCGGTCGATGCCCTGGACCTGCCCATCCCCAACTGCTTCCGCGTGCGGAGCCACAGCTACGTGCGCGCCATAGAGAAGGGCTGCTCGCAGGAAGACGAGGAGGAGGCGGCGGCGGCGGCGGGCGTCTCCAGGACCGGCTCGCCGCCGCGCGCCACCACCACCACCACCACCACCGTCCGAACGATCCAGAGCAGCACAGGTCGGTGGGAACGTGCGCTCGGCAAACTCGCGAGCACGTGTGAACATACATAATCCATGGTGCATTATGAATTGATACACGGGCAGAGACAGTGATGTATTATAGATGTGCTGCAGCGTGGACATGTGTTTAGTGTCAACCGCAACAACAAATGAATGATTCATTGCGGCAGTTAGCACAAAGAGGGACTTATCCTTATATAAAGGCTGTAGTTTGGATCAAGGGCAATCAAATCAAATTTTCATTTCTTATTCTCCTCTGGTACAAAAAAATAAAAAACATACACTTTGAATTGAGTATTTTTCATAAAGGAAAGAGTTACATCGGTTATAATGAGAACCAAACCCTCTGCATTATTATCCATCTGACCCAGTTTACTCCTCAGATACAATGTGGTTAATGCAGAAGGGCCTTTTCCCACCATCAGGGCTTATTTGAGCTGTAAAGCTCACTGGCTGCTGGATCTTATTTTAGCCCTCTCATTTGCCTCTTGGTCCGGAGCGCATGGCTTTCCCGCCTCGCCGCATGCAGCATTGATGCTGGGTGGTGCCGGCATTCCAGCTCTGGGTGCTTCTACGTTTCCCACCGCAATCCAAACGTCCCTTTTGTGCATTGTGCGCGCTGAGTCGCCCGTGTCCTGGCGTGCACTGGCTCTCTTGCCTTCGCGTTTAGTTATGCCAATTTACGAGATAGCATTTCCCCCCCGAACATAGCTGACAGGTTACAGCCACATAATCAAACGCCATCGCTGCAAGAAGGACTGAACTAGTTCTATCAATTCAAAGGCATTAAAGGTTATAAGGAGACAACATGTATTTAATGTTGTGAAGACTTGCCGCAATTGGCCTCTTCTAAGACAATCATTCAGTTCTCTTAATGAAATATTGAAATACTAAGTTCCCTGTAGTTCTCTCATTCAACATATTTTAATAATTCAAGATAACATCGCAATGAAAAGGCAATAGAGGGTTCAGTTTATTAGTATATTGTGTGGTGGTAGTTATTGATCTAAAAAAGGAGACTGATAAGATCAAGAGAGGGACATTCGGAGCTCCTTCCCCCCGAGGAGGCAAGAGATAATGAAGACCATCTATCAGGGGAGGTGTTGTCGGGACTAAACTCCGTTTTTAAAGCCAGACAGCTGCTCCGTAGTGCTGCTAACACGTGATACACAAAGCCTTTCTTTCTCCCACTTCCAGTTTGTGTTTGGTGTCTCTCACACGTTCTGCTGATGGAACCTTCTTGATCTGTAATCATTTGCTGGTAGCGTAAAGAAAACACCTTTTTAAGGCGGCGTCGGGTAAGAAGCGATGTAGCGCTCAGGAGGCTTACGGGAGCCGCCTCACAGCTGGCGAACATCCATTTCTGGCGCATGACGAACGGTCGTTGTGGAGGTAACAGAGAGGAGATATTCCTGCCCTGTGGTCATTTCTACTCCAACATTACTCTGCTGCTTCCCACCGCGAGCGAACCTCCGTCTGCCCCGCGTAGCTCACTGCGATTGGCCCTCGACCTCTTTTGACCCGTGACCTTTGTCCTCTGCAGCTCTGAGGCGCAAACCGGCGCGACGGGGATTTGTGTGACTCATTACGAGGCAATGTGGAGCGCCGTTGGTAGCGGAGGTGGGGGATTGCCCCAGATTACTGTCACAGTTGTGCCAATGCACAATTTATCACCTCCTTAGATCTTCACCACTGAGTCATCAGTCACTGTAATTAATTATCTACCTTTCCCTTTTCTCCTCCTCGGAAAAAGAGCTGTGATTGACAGGGAGTGGAAGGAGAGAAGGAAAAGCTGTGTGTGTCTCTCTCAACACGTGTCCTTCCGTTCATGAGATGATGTTCATCTTGTGTGGGAGTACTTCCCATTTTCTTACCCAAGATGAATTTCATGATTAATTCTGTGTTTTTAGCATTTTGTCAGGTTAAGAGGTCAGAAACAGGCTGCTAATGTGTAGCTGACTTTTGCCTTAACTGCTTAATGCAATATAATGTGTCTTGACGATGATGATGATGTAGGAGTAAAACATAAACTAACGTGCATTCTTACATTTCACTGGGACTCTCCTGGCAGGAAGCGAGGAGGGAAGACGGTGTAGCGGCGAATATTACATGATATTCACACGAAAGCACACACACACACACACGGACAGGTGTGTGTGTGTGTGTGTGTGTGTGCTCATGCTGTGCTCCTCCAGTTCATTATTATCGATGACCGTTTTAATCCAGAGGAAGAAGAAAGCAAGTAAGGGGCCGTCCTTTGATCTCTTCCCTTTGAACGTCGAGGAGCTGTGGCTGCGTCGCCCGGCTCTGTGCATCCCTCAACCCGGCCAGTCGCTTGTAGGTCGTTTCGGGTTAAATTCTGAAGCCGACCGTCTTTTACAGCCGGGAAGAGCTCGTAGTATTCGGTTGATTTGACTTTGTCCTTCGCCACCTCCTCCGTCTGCTTTGTCTCGCCCTTGCTTGGCGTCTTGCAGGGGGATCCCCTGCGTTTTCACAACAACGGCATTGGGTCTTATGGGGAAATCAACCGGTGGAAGACAAATTGACCTTCAATTAGAAAGACTACACACACACACACAGATCTCAAGTCTGGGAAACGTGCCAGTGTTTGTTTCTCCTCCTCCTCCTCTCACCTTCAGTTTTCCTGGCCCGCTGACCTGCCGTCAATTATCCTCCATCTATTTTTCAGAGGTGCTGAGGGATTGGCTGCGTCTCTCCTCCCCGAGCTCTTATAATAGGCTACAGGACAATGTTTAATTTATTGGCTGTGAATTTCCATACGGGGCCCAAAACCGAGGCGCCGAGCTCACAAGAGCATTCCTTGAGTTGGAGGCGTGCTCGCGGGTCATCTTGCCGATGCTTTTGTCAAACCCTTTTCCATCTGTTGTCTAGCGGGAATAATAACCGGAAAATCCCTCACACACTTACTTTATCCGATATTTATGATTTATCAGTCGGGCCCCCCTTCCACCATTAATAGAAGAAAACTTGTTTAGCATATTTTCTATACATCAGGAGGAAAAAGGAAAGCTTCTAACTTAAAAAGTTAGATCAAGTTGCTGCCGTAGAGCTGCAAGAGGAGCAGTTTACAGCAACGCCGCTCCATTCTAAAACAAAGCCTGTGCAACACTGCCCCCGGGGGCTGAGCGCAGCACAGCAGCGCACCTCTGCCCCCTCCTTCCTGCAGTAGCTGCGTGAGTGGGTGGATGTAAAGCTACTAGACAGGCTGACCCAATTAACACCGCTGGCACCTTCCCAACAGTTCTCTTCCGAGGGAGCTCGTAGGAATAAGTGTCTTCGGACTTCCCAGTGTGCATTAAATGCAAGTCGCAGACAGCCTGAGCCAAGTCCGTTGGAATGGAGACAAAAGCGGAGCCTTCGTCCAGATCTGCCCTCACACCTTCGCCAGCCCACGCACAAATTAACAAGAGCCAGTGTGAGATTGTCAGGATGACTCAGGAGAGCAAAGAAAGCTGCTGCTGCTGCTGCCGCCGGAGGGTTCCCGACGTGCTCTGGAAAGGTTCCCTCCTTGTTTGAGGAGGATTGCAGGTGAAGGCCCCCGTGGCAGCACCGGGGTCAACCGGGGCCACCGATGCGATGACGAGGCTCATGACAATCGAGCGATGGTATTCTGAGACGTAAGAATTGTGTGATTCATTAAAGCCGTTCGTCCTGGGAGGGAAAAGGCGCCAGGCTTTACTGCACCACAGGGGGGCAGTCGTTGCACCCAATCATCTGTTTGCGTGATAAGTTGATGCAACACCTCTATGGAAGTTAATGTCACGATCACTCCAGCTGTATTTAATGTGCTGAGAATTCAAAAGACAAAGTATACAGTGGGTCATAGTGTAGTTTTAAACTTAATTCAATATTCTGTTTGAGTTAGATTGGTTCACTGGGAGTTTCATCAGTACTTCAACTTGAAAATGTCTAAATCCCTTCAAGTTATACACCTCTTTAAAAGAATACAAACCAAACCCAAACCACAATCCCAAAAACGTGCTCTGATCATGAACCAAGTAAACCAAGGAGGGACATTTTAAATTGGTACTTTTATTAATGGATTTAACTTTTCTCAAAGGTATTAACTCAAACGTTATCCTGTATATAAATTTCGCGTCATGCAAATGAGCATTGGCGGGGGAGGGGCTTGTTGAGCTGGTGCAATACAAAAACTAAGAAAAATAATTTTAAAATGTATATATTTACCCCAGAAACCCTCACATCCCTATTGTAATATCGGCGTTAATACGTGCGGCATCAGAAGTAGACAAAGTTATAACATCAGGTTTTGCTGATGAACGGGCCCGTCCCACCCGCTGCTGGGTGAGATGTAAAGTGTTTGTGTCGGGAGGGGAGGGGGGCGAACAAGGCGCGTCCACATCCTGACATAAGATCCAACATCGCCAGAGTGAACAAGGAAAGGAGGCAGAGAGTAGCTCCTCGCGACGTCTCCTCGCGGACTCTTTCCTTGTCATGTCGCTGCTTCTGGGTCTGTGCGGCGCGCTGCTCGGCGTGCGCGACTACTGGATGCGCCTCCGTGAGTAAACCACCGGCGGTTCTCTGTTGTTTGAGAGGGGCAGACGTGACTTGATGGAGGAGCTGCGTCAAGGCTGAGTCCCGGCCAGGAAGTGGCGCTCGTGTAGCCTTCAAAATAAGAGGGGAGTGAATGCGTCGGGGCACACTTTTAAACCCTAAAATAATACCGGATGCAATGCAAAACACTTTGGCATCGCGGCACTTCATGGTAGAATATAAACGAAGGACATCAATGGGGGTTTTAACTCCGTAAGTAAACTTCTCACCGTCAGGTTAGTAAAAAAGAACATGTTTATGCTGCTATTGAAAATACGTCACTGGCCTTTACTTTGAAAGGTGTAGCAGGAAGTCGTGTATTTAAGTGCCGCGCCCCTTTCTGCTTATTCATGGTTCAAGTGAAAATGGACGAAGTTGTTTATATTAAATACGAATTTCCTGGACGTCACATTATAATTAACTCAAGTTCAAAATCAAGTTTGATCGTGATAGATCTAAAATATTAATACACTCTTCATATCTCACTTACCAAATTTAAATTACAAAAATATATTTTCACACTTTCATACACACTTATATGCTAATCTCTCTATTAAACATACTTTCAGCTCCCGGGGCCCGAGCAACTGGTTTCCCCCCTTTATCCTGACTTACTTTGAACAGTAAGCGACGTGTTTCCCGTCCACTCTGCTGGTCTATTTCTGGTACCATGTCTGTGATGGGAGGATGACAGGTGTTGGTGGCCTCCATGACGCGGAGCAACTCCTGGCACAGCATTACGGCACATGCCCCTGCAGGGTTTAGGTATTTAGGTCGAGAGGGGATGGGAAGGCGCGCTGAACCCGAAGGCCTGATGGGAAAAGAGATCTACGGCTGGGGTGGACGGAGAGCCCCTAACGGCCTCCCGGGTGACGGATGAACAGTCTGCGGCCCTGTGTCTCCATCTTCAACCGGCCATCTGTTTTTTAGCGAGTCATGCTCACGTATTCTCGCCCCCGATGCCCCCCCCCCCCCTCTCCGTCCCCTCCCCTCGCTGACCGCCCGCTAACCTGCCAGCTTTCTATTTTCAGACGAAGCTCCAGGTCCCTCATGAGCACAGCGTGCCATGGACACGCACAAACCGTACACGCGTGTCTGGTGATCCGAGCAGCCCGCCGCCATGTGTTTGGAATATGACGGATTCATGTGAATTAGGGAAAAGCTCGGCTGCTGAGTTATTAAGTACGACATTAATCGACTTTAATTATGAAGCTGTAAATAATGCCAATGCGAGTCTCTGACACTTACAATCCATCGGAGACTTTAAATGGGATATAATTGTTGAAACTTTATACAATCAATTATCTGTTCTATTAGTATTATTATTTTTGCTTATTTTACATGCTGCTTTGCGCTCAGACATTTTTTACCAACTGAATCACATTGCTGATTTGAGGGATTATTAGTTTCCCTCGTTTTAATTTACAAATTGGTCCAACCCGGTAAATCTAAATTCATCCTGAGATTTATTTTTGCCTCGAGGGCACGGTTGCACAACCATATGTTGAAGTGTTTAAAAGTATTGGCATTTACATTGATAACGCTTTAATGGTTTATGGAACTGTTCGCCGCAGGCAAGGTTGTGTTAAGGAGCCGAGTCGTTGCTTAAGTATTTCAGTCCAAAAGGGAACATGTTTAGTAGCATTTTACCCTCTGGACCAAATAACTAATGTAATACAAGTTTAAAGGAATTGTTGCATCAGAATTCGCAGACCCACCCAACATTTTTGCCTATGTTGAGAGAAACCAGCTGCCTGAGCAGTTGCACTACGTTGGTATGACCAGTAATCCTGGTACTTTGCTTTCTATTTGGAAGCTGCTGTGTACACATACATAGTGGGTGTGAAATGTTGGATGGATACTTTAAGCTATAAACTCTTAGTGCCGTGTAGCCAGAGCCCCTCCCTGCTTGCAGTGTTTCCCTTCTTTCCATTTGTAGCTTTCACTCTGTGTCTCTTTCCCTCACTTCATCTCAGCGAGCCTTTATTTGAGCCTTTAACAGTTTCGCTGAAGTTGGCTCCCACGAGACTCTTCCCCCCCCGTTTTCCCGACAATGCGTCATTTGGCCCCGGTCACCTTCTCCCAGCAACTCTCACCGTCGACGTTCTGTCTTTTAAGAGCAATTATCATGTTAGAGATAAGCTTCAGAAGCCCTCGCCAAGGGAAAGGCGGACACTTTTACTTCAGTCGTCCAGGGTTACGGTATGAGGCGTTCACATTTACAGTAACAGACGAAGCCTCCTGCATATTTAATGTTTCTGCTAACTCACTTTTTTCGACTTCACTCGTTCCTCAGCCTCTTAATTCCTCTGTGCCGTGGAAAAAGTTCAGTCCAGATTTGCAGTAATCCAAAAGTAGAACAGCGTTAGAAGAACAAAGATAAAGATTGTCAGGTGAGAACGAGGTTGTTAATAAAACTGTTACATGCTAAGATACGGATCACTGGAGCCTCAATGGCAGCTGATCCCGTCTTTACGTGCCAATGACTTACCAACACATTTTTGTTGTTTTTATCTAAGTTAGTCATTTTGGGAAACTTGCATGTAATTTACCGTCATATCATAAAGGTAACTGGTTGTCATGTTAACATTTTGCTCATCCCACATGAGTTTGCTAATGACACTTCAATAAAATCAACATCATGGTAATTATTTCATATATCTAGAAAGCTGGACACATATGCTGGAAGCCGAGGTTCATCCTGATAAAGGGCTTTTCCTTCATCACAGGTTTAATTAACTGGATATCTCAAAAATAATTTTGGTACAAAATACAACAAGGATTTTCCCAGTTCAAAGAGCAATACAGAACAAAATGAAACTCTTTGTTATTACTAATACGCCTCTTAATGTTTTACATCTCTTTTAGCATTCAGTATTCTCTTTTTAAAATTGTCTCTAAAAGAAGAGATTTTAATTTTTAACTTTAGGTTCACTCCACTAGAGGGAGCATCTGCCCGTTCTAGAGGAAACCGGTGCGCAGGAGTGACTCAGTGTATGAAGCAACACACAAGTTTCATCTTGTGGTGATCCTGTAAGACGTTATTTTAGACGCCGCGGGTCTTAAGTTGCGGTGAAACCTTTTTGTTTCCGAAAGACCGAAACAGAGTAAATGAGACATTCGTACTTTGCCTGATTTACAAGAGCGCTTGAGAGGCATTGAGATCAAACGTGGTTCATTGAGCAGGAATGCTCCTTTGAGCTCCACCAACCCCCCCATGTCTGCCCCTCAGTCCCACCAGCACACACACACACAGATCGGTCTCCGTACTCTGGCGTTAATTACAGGGACAGCTAAAGCCCTCCCTAAGCGGCGTATGTTGCTGCATGTAAAAATCCACCTGTGTGTCAGTGGATCAAAGGTGGAATCATTATTCCAAGGAAGGACGGTCCTCCGATGGCCTCTCACACGCGCACACACCTGCACAATGCTGTCATCCCACATGCTTTGAGGGTTTGCGAGTAGGTGTGTTTGACAGGAAACGAGAGCTCGGCCGGGGCATGTGTCGACACATGGCGGGCCTCCGTACCTGGCTGCAGCTTGTGTGCGTGCACGCAGGCTGCAGAAAGTGTGTGTGTGCGACTGCAGCTGCGGGATCAGGCGTGAACCGGGAGCCCTCCATGTGGGTAATCTGGGATTTGGCGATCTCTCTCTCTCTCTCTCTCTTCCTGGAGGAGATGAGTGCCGACCATGCTGGTGTGTGCCAGCCACTCGGTAATTACTTCATCCTGTCACGGCAGTCTGAGAATGCGAGCCAGTGGGAACTTGCACTCTTTCATTGACAACGCAAAAACACTCGGCATCTCTTTTATACGGCTTCATTTTTTAGGGTGTAAGTCATGATGAACCGATACAGATGGGCTGGATGTGGTTGAAGAGATCTGTGGATGTAGGCTACTACCTGTAATTCCAGCGCCTACAGCTGTTCTTTAAGCTGAATTTATTCATTTCATTATAGTCGTTCAGACGTCAAATTTAATTTAAAGTAAATCGTATGACGTCAAACTGAATTTGAAGTAAATCATATTCTATGGTCTGTGATTATGTGTTTTTTCCTATCTTGGACAGGTCTCCCCTGACTAAATACATTTTTAATCTCAATGGGGCTTGTCCTGTTTAAATAAAGGTTTAATAATAATAATAATAATAATAGAAAAGAATTGTTACTGTTATCTAGATGTAAGCAAGGAAAAAATATTTTCTTTGACCTGCAATACAAAATCTTTCACTAGATGTCATCATATCCTCATCTGCATTTCAGAACATTTGTGTCATTAGAGAAGTGTCGAGTTTGGCCCAAATAAAGCGTAACTTGACACTCTGGCTCAATGTCATCGTAAGTAACCTTTTGCAACTGGATTTGTTGAACATCTGTGCCCATGTTGCATTATTTATATAGTATAAATAAATCCCTGCATTTGCAGGACTTGAATCAACAGCTGTTTCCTGCCTGTAAATGCTTAAAGCAGAATAAGTCAATAGGACGTATCTGCCCAACGCTTTTGTTGGCGGCTGTTAGGTGTTCATGTTTGCTTACGACTTAATTGGTCCCACTTTGTTATGGCCCCCGGAATGCTTTGATTACAGCTATTTGGGGAGGAAGAGAGGCGTTTGGGTGTCTTTTGACACAGGAAGAGAATGTCATTCATTCCTCTGCTCCCGCTCCGAGTTTGAAAGAAAACAAAAAAAAAGAGGCAGAAGAGAGAGAGAGAGAGAGGGTCTCCGGGAGGAACTGACAGCGCTGCGACAAACGCAAAGAATGCGTGCGGCGTTGGACCCCTGCGGTTCGCCCCGCTGTGCAGAAAGAACACACACACGCCAGCTTCCTGCTACACGGGGGGAATCTGAAGTTTTACTTCAAGTTTGGCGTGTCCGATCAGGTGGACAGCCCCGTCAGGTAGGGGCTTTCCTCTTCCTCCTCCTCCTCCTCCTCAGTTCCTGCTCTTCCTGTCTGTGTTTTGGCATCAGAAGGAGCAAAGGAAAAGCAAAGCCCCGAAAGGATTTCCTCAGTGTGTTTGCTGTGGATGATCCTCGTGGCTCCTCCATGCTAAAGCCGGGCGAGGCGGGGCCCGCAAACTCCACCACGACCCGAAGAAGGGTTCACACGTGGAGCTGCAGACGAGACGTGCTTTTTTTTTTCTTTTTTACTCTGCTCCCTTGACAGAATGTTGAGAGTTTTTCGTTTGCCCTGACAGCTAAATTGCGTGGTTCTCGTAGCATTCGCCGCTCTGCAGGGCAGGGAGTACGTCGGAATGGTGCGCGGCTGTAAGTGGGTGGTTTGGGCCGTGCAGCGTGGGAGGCCAGGCCCCAGCGCAAATTAAAGACTTCTCTGTGAAAGTCCCAGACTGGGCTACAGTAATGTGTGTGTGCGTGTGTGTGCGTCTGAGTGACTTGGCGTGTGTGGACGCGGCCGGCGGGGAAGAGACCAAACCCTTCCTCTTTTTTTCTTTTTTTTTTTTTCTTCTTTTTTTTTAACCGGTCATTAAAAATAAGCCACTGCTCTCCCCCGGTAGACACTGAGAGACAGCGAGAGGGGGAGAAAGAATGCATCTCCTCTTTCTCCTCCCTTTCTTTGAGCTTTGCTGCTTCACTACCCAAGTAAAACGGGGAGGAAAGGGAGGAAGGAGGGGGTGGGACGGGGGGGGGAGGCTGTGTTCAAGGGGTACTGACTCCACTCAGAGAGTTTTAGGACCCCCTCCCCCGTGTAAAGTTTTTTTTTTCTATCCAGGAGGGGAGAGAAAGAGATGAATGGGCAAAGGAATGCAGGAGACAAACGAGGGCTCTCGGCAGGAGAGTGGGAATGTTTGAGAGGCCATTGTTCCTCCCCCATGAGATTCTGCAGGGAGTGGATGTAAACACGCAGAAAGGGGGGGGGTGTGAAGAATCGCACCTGATGGACAGATAG